TAGTGTTAATCTTTCGGGGTTCAATATGTAACTATGTTTCTCCTAAATACGGTTTTTTGAAATTAAACTATCATTAATTGTCCAATCTAAGTTTAAATTTTTATCTATGTGATTAACATGTTAAATTGTAACAGATGATCGGTTCACTTTTATCATTTAGTTGGAATACATTTTAAATTCGGATCAAACGGTATAGTAACACTTTGTAGCATTAAATGTGTTTCTTTTAGAACTAACCGCATTAACCGATATGATTTATCCAAAAATGAATTTTTTATAGATATCATAACCTGAAAAAATTGTGATACAAAAACAACAAAATCTACAATCTAAAATATATTTTATATTTGAATTTTGAAGTTTGCCGGATTTAGAATAGAAGATAAAACCCATGGTTTGGCAGCATGGATTGACGTGCATGCATGATTTAAACGTTAGTAACGACCAGATGTCATACACTACCATATACGTAGAAACTGGAGTCAACAACAAAGTTAACTCCATTCAAACTGGTTGGATGGTAAAATCAATGTTGATGCTATATAAGGTGAATTCAAGTTTATTTGGTGACAATCGCATATCGAGTTATGAATTTTGGAAGGTACATATTTTAATACATTATTAATATAATCCTAATTACATAACATATTTCAAACCATGAATAAGTGTGTTAATAATAATTTCTTTGTTTTACAAATTTGCTTTTCATATAGGCATATACATCAGGGAAAACTAATTGTAAATTATCTTTCCAAAGTTTAGTAAGTGAAACATTACAACTTTTATTCCTAAATCTTATTTCTAATATATTAAATCAATTTTTTTATTTAAAATATGCATTCAAAGTATAGAAAAATTAAGGTAACAGCAACAACTATTAAAGGGAACTAAAACTTGACTCGCTCGCCCGAACGGATATGTATTATTACTAATTGATATTTTATTTATATATTATATAAATTAAATATCTATATTTAAAATTTAAATATATATAATTTCATATTTATATTTTGATCATGGTTTTTGATCTATGTATATATTAACATTTTAAGAGCATAAATATGTGAAAAATCATTATTTTGATCATGATTTTTAATATGTATATTTTTATCATATTTCTGATCCGTGTATTTTATTTAAGTGGAGCATAAAAGGTAAGATTATAAATACATATATTGTATATGCTAAATTAAAGACACATTAAATCAGTTATAGGATTTTATTTATATATAAGCTAAATTATAGAAAATATTTATTTTTCCCTCTATAAAAAGGAATGAGCACAATTTTTTAACAAATGATTCAGTTTTTAATAGTAAAAAAATATTCTTAAAGATTGTGTGTATCAAAAAACAATAGTTTGTTAAAAACATAAATAGTGTTAATCGAAAATATACAAACACTTAACAATACTTCCTAAGACAATACAAATAAAACACTTAAATAAAATTTTTACATTGAATTCGATAAAAAATTATAGTGGTGTATGTAGCATATTTATATTGGTGAGAATAAAAGTTTGTTGAGAACAAATGAAGAAAACAAAGAAAAAAAATAACATTGGGAAAAGTGATCATAGAGACAAATATATTTATATTTTTCATAAATAATTCATTTATATTATTGATGTAGATTAATGTTAATAGTATTAATATGAAGTAGTTAAAAATATAGCTATGAAATATATAAATTTAATTTAGAAAATATTTTACTACTTTTAGAAAAGATATGCAATGCATAAAGTTAGAAATAGTTGTTATCACCTATATATTGAAAGAGACACATTATAAACTTTGAGCCATGATACATGTCATCACAAAAATCAATATCAAATTCCTTAGAAAATAAATTGGTCAATCTAGACATATAGTATACTTTCCATTAACATAATCATATAATTAATTATTAATATAAAAACTTCATTATTTCTTTAAATAGAACATAAAAAATTACCTAATTTGATCAAAATATATATGATAATTAATAATTTTAAATAAAAAGATTTAATAATAATCTATATATCCTCTATCATTTTTGTTTTATATTAATATTCTTAAAATAAATTATCCAATCAAATTAACCAATTAATAAAAATTTGGATTTTTCTATATATGTTATATTATGAATTTTGAAAAACGAATATAAATTACTAAACTTAAATAAAACTCACTTTTAAAATTTGTGATCAATGATTTAATTTTTATATATAACAAGATAGATATATTTTTTTGTAACTAACAAGATACAAATGTTCATAACATTATACGAGTAAGATGTCTTATTTAATAAATATTAGATTATATATATAAATATATATATATATATATATATATATATTAATATCATTTAAATTGAATTATATATTATATAAAATACAATTTTCAATTTTAAATTTTGAAGTTTTCTCATCATCATTTTAAAATTTCAAAGTAATAATGTATCACAAAAGAATTCAATTTAACATACTTGTTGATGAAGTAAAAAAACTAACATATTAAACATGTAAAATGATGATGTATCAGTTTTTCACAAATAATTATTTAATGAATAAAAAATTAAAATACATAAATTAAATAAAAACAGTAAAGCTAAATAAAAATCTATAAAATTAAATTAAAAATCAGAAAGCTAATAAACTAAACAAAATTCAAAACAACATAAATTAAATAAAATTAAAAATAAAGTCAGAAAATTGAAAATATATCAACTAAAAATCACAAATACTAGAAAATGTAAACGGATTCAAACCATCATCATCAGTAGTGATATGTTTGAAACTTTTATTGTCAACGAGAATATGTCACATTTTTTAAAAAAGCAATCTTGTAATTTTTGTGTGATTTTCTAATAAAAAACTAACATGTCATCATAGATCATAAAATTTATAAACATAGCATTGTTGGCGATGATGGTTTCAAATAGACTTCTTAAATGCGTAGTCTTGTAGTTTTTAAATAATTACTTTGAATTTTTTAGATTTGATAATTTTCTTTAACTTTTGTTTAGTTTTCTGAATTTTTATTGAATTTTTGTATTTCAATTTAATCTTTTTGATTTTTTTCTATATTTTCTGAATTTTTATTTAAATTTTGAAAATTTAGTTTAGTTTCTAACTTGTATTTATTTATTTTTAATTTCCTGCCTTGTATTAATTAAATAATTATTTTATAAAACAATATGACAAATTGTTCTTTTACATGTTTGACATGTCAATTTTTACTTAATGAAAAAATAAGTTAAGTCGAATATTTGTGAGATATATATTTTACTTTAAAAGTTTAAAGTGCTAATCAGAAAACTTCAAAATTTAAAATATCAGTAAATATTATTTTCAGAATTTAAAATATCAGTAATTATTATTTTCAGAATTGTTATAACATTTTCCCGTTTAATTATCTGCTTTGGAAGTTATATGTGGCTCTCCTCGTCATGCTCCGACCATCCAAATTATGGTGATGTTGTCTCCAAAGCTCCAAACCCAGATTTCATCAATTGGATTCGCAATAACCATGATCTTGGTTTGGTTTTTAGATAGAGTGGGAATCCATAAAACGAATTCCATAGTTAATAACAAACACAATTAACAATTTGATATGTATTTTAATTAGGTAATTTATTCGCACTTGTGTGTTTAATAATTTTACAGAAAAAAATATATATAAACATATATTATTAATTCAAAAACCATTATAATATATAATTCTCATGCTTTTGAAATATTTAACAATAAATTAAATATTAATTTTATATGACATAAAGTTATTTATTTTAATAAAAAATATTTATTATATAAAATAAACTTTAAAAGCATTACCATACACATGGATTTATATTAATTTTAATAAAAATTATGATGTAAAATATTTTGGATAAGATAATATAGAATCTTTTTCAGATAATGATCATTATCAAATGAATGAAATTTGTTTTTAGCTTATGAGTAATTATACATTAATAAATATTTAATATCATTATGTAAAATATTTTGTTAAACATAATATATAATCTTTTCAGATAATGATGATTATCAAATAATATTATAACAAATAACTAAAGTAAGTAAACACAATTAATTGAAATCTATGCAAATTAATATGTATTTGAAATATATTTAAAAAACATATGAGTAGATTAATGTTTTTTATTAACCAAGGTAAAGTAGACCTGTAAAAAAAATCCAACAAAGCAATAGATAGATGTAATCAATATGTTTATTTATTTCATTGTAGTAAAGGTTCTGCGGAGTAATATTATTATATTGTAAATTTAATTGGAAGGAAGAAATATGTGGTTACATACATACAACTAAAAACATTATTTATAATAGTACATAATAAAAGAGAAATTTTTTTAAAAAAAGTTTTGAAGACATTTAAGTGTTTGATTAGTGTTTGTATTAAATGGAATAAAATCCAAGTGGATCAATATCCAGTATTAAAAACTCCCTTGGATTCAAATTGATAAAGTGAACTTTAAATATATTTATGTTACAATTAATAAAAATAATTTATAACAGGAAAATAAAAAAGTAAATTCAAAACGAAAGTTTTGAGGAAAATTAAGTGTTTGATTAATGTTTATTTTAAAAGAAATAAATCCAAGTGAACCAATATCCAGTATTAAGAAGTCCATTGGATTCATATTGATTATGGATAAAGTTAACTTTAATATATTTATGTTACTATTAATAAAAAACATAAAAAGATGGAAAGCAATATATTTCCACATCCTTCACAATTATAATTATATATATATATTTGAGCTTACAAGGAGATCTAACACACATAAAACTTCAAAGTATTAAAATATATTGTCATATAACTCATGGATTTTGTTGTCAAACTCCTCGCGTTCATATTCATATTCACAATTTCTGCAATTCAATCAAGAGAAATTGAAGAAAATGTGAAATTCTTCAAGGTACACTGAAAATATGTATTATATTAAAAAAATATATATCATAGCTTTTTTTTTGCTCTGAAGGTTTTTTTTTGTCCTAGTTAAATGAAAAGGTCATATACGATTGTGTGGATATACATAAACAACCTTCCTTAAGTCATCCACTACTCCATAATCATAAAATCCAGGTTTTATTCTCTAAAATGTTATTGTTATATCTTTTATCTTTTAACATTTTTATTTTTATTTTTGCGTTAGATGTATTTGAAATATTTAAAATATTTTTATTTTAAGTAAATTTAGATTTTTTCCTTGATTTTTATCTTATAATAACTTTAATTATTATTCGGAACATCTTGATCCAATGGTAAGGACGAACTCCTTCTTGAATCGAGGTTGAGTTTAAACCCTACTAGAAGAAACTACTTCATGTTTGTCTCTAGAAACCTCACACGGATATGGATCCTTGTCTTTGAGCCATTTACAAGCCATGTGCATAAGTTTACATGTGGATCACGTATCCCCCAATAGATTAATCTAAATCTATTTGATCTTGAGATTTACTAAATTATATAAAAAACTTTAATCATTATTTTTCATATATTACATGCCTAAATAAATTATGTGTTATACATTGCTAACAAACCATCCAATAAAAAACCATCTTCAGCTTTATTTTTGCTTAAAATTTGTTTACTATGCATTATTTAAATTAAAAAAAAATTCTGTTAATTGTAAACTTATTTATAAAATATTATCATTATTTATATATTTATTTAATTTTGAAGATTGTAAGTGATTTTATAAAGACAAAATTTGGAATATAACATTATTTTTTATTTATATATATACTTAATTTGGCATATTTTAAGTGACGTTATAAAGTCAAACTTTTGTAATATATCTACCAAATCTGTTCCTTAAAATAAGTGTTTGTGTTCTCCTTTATGTTAAGTTTAACTTGTATTTTTCATGTTTTTTGGATTATCCTAATTTAGTTTGATTTCTCATAATATACTTATTGTGTGTCTATCCAATTTGAATAGATGGAACCATCATTTTACATACCTAAACCAAAACATAATGGTCAAAAAATAAATGAAATTAAAAGAACCATCAACTGTCCAAATGGAACGGTTCCTATACAAAGGAACACAAAAGAAAATTTTGCAGATGGTAAATATTGGGCAGAAAATTTTGTTACTCCACTTACGGCTGGAGGTCATGGAATACATGTAAGTACAACTATTTCAAATTGGTAAATTTACAAATATCTACAATCTGAAATTTGTGTTACAAAAAAAAAAAAATCTATAATCTGAAAATATAAATAAATTTGAATTTTTGAAGTTTGCCGGAGTTAGAACACAAGATAAAGGCCCTTACCATGGTTTGGCAGCGTGGATGAGTGTGCATGATTTGAATGTTAATCACGACCAGATTTCATACACTACCATATATGTAGAAAGTGAAGTCAACAACAAAGTTAACTCCATCCAAACTGGCTGGATGGTAAATCAATGTTTATGTTATTTAATCAACGTGATTACTTTAAAATATAGAATGCTTTAATATGATTTATATATAGGTGAATCCAAATTTATTCGGTGACAACCGCACATGGAGTTATGGATTTTGGAAGGTACATATATGATACATTATTAATAACATCCTAATTAAATGACATATTTCAAACCTGGATAAGTGTCCACTTCATCAAGATTTGGTTCAGGAATATTTTGATTTTGGATTTTCAAGATTAAAGATCTTAAATTCATTCGGGTATTTATAAATTTCGGTTCAGATTCTCTTGGCGGGTTCGGTTCGTATTCAGATAGCCCATTAATTTTTTAAAATTAAAAATAAAATTCATATATACTTTAAATTTATTAAAATCTGAAATTAAAACAATCTAGAACATAAATTTAAGTAATATCTATAAAATACCTAAATTTAACATAAAATTGGTTTAATTTAAATATTTAGATGGATGATCGATATATATTTTAAGTAATTTTGGTGTTTGAATATTTTAACTATTTTAGCTATTTACTTCTGACTATTTGTATGTATTTTAAAATATTTTTGGACAAATTCAAAATATCTTATGAATTTTATATATATAGTTTTGGATATTAACTCTAAAATTAGCTAAGATGTTTTTTTTTGTCAAAACTATATATGTATTTATATATATATTAGCTACCTTCAAAGTAGCTAACATATTTAAGTATATAAATTTGATTCTAATATATTTTTGGATACCCGAAACATTTCAGATTTTTAGTTTCAGCTCTCTAGACATTAAAATTTTGAAACCATTCGGACACTTCAATCTCAGTTCGGATTTAGTACTACTTTTTCGGATCAAATTCGGTTCGGATCTTTTACCCATCCCTACATCGTGCTAATAATTTTTTATTTTCTTGTGCGAATTTTCTTTTCATATACATCGGGAAATATAAATATCAATTATACTTTCTAAATTTTTTTAATTGAAACGTTACAAAAAAATTTCATGAATCTTCTATCAAAAATATTAAATTAATATTTATATTAAAAAATGTGCATTTAAAGTATAAAAAAATAAACTGAAATTAACAGAAATTAAATGGAATGAATACTCATCTTTTCATGTAATAAATTTTAAGCCAAAATATTTGAAATTAGTACTAGATCCCACTCTTTTGATTTTGCCTCGTACTTTAGGTACTTTGTTATAAATACGCATGTTAATAGAAAATGAAAACTAAAAACATGAACAGTGTTATTAAAACTTTATATTAGTATTTGAAATATAAATAAATAACAAATATATTTATCAGAAATTAATCTAATGCATGCATCGTTATTCTTGTAGTATAAGATTTTTGAAGTCTTTCAAACTTTGGATGTGACTGGAATGTTGATTTTTTAAGTCTTTTAAGTCTTGCATCATTCCATATGATTCCAATTTTTTTTTTTTTACAATTTACAATTAAACTTTTTAAAAATCAGTTCCATATATTCCATTTTTGGAATGGAACAAAAAAATAAAACCTTTGTAAAATCTATTAATAATTTCAGTTTTTTATTCTATAGTATCCACTATTCCATTTAAGTTATATTGATATATCAAAATTAAATATTGATAGGGTGCCAATGGAGCAGGCTGTTATAATACAATATGTCCTGGTTTTGTTCAAGTGTCAAAAACTGATCTTTTAAGTGCACCTTTTCCTTATCCCGGCAAAGGACAAGGAGAAAGAGCTGTATATACTAGTATTTTACAAGTAAGATGAATATACTTAAATTTATGTTACCAATATGTTTTTCTAATATTTAATATGTATGTATTTTTTGAATATATTAAAGGATAAAGTAACAGGAAATTGGTGGACAACAGATGTAAAATACAATGGACCAGATACACATGTTGGTTATTGGCCAAAAGAACTATTTGATCTTATAAGTAATGGTGTGGATATAGTTGGAGTTACGGGAGCAGCCCGCGCTTCATCATCTGGTATAAGTCCGCCAATGGGTAATGGTCATCTACCAACTGAAGATGAGAAAGCGGCTGCTCATGTTAAGAACCTTCAAATCTTAGATTCTGAATTTAAAGTCAAAGAAAGTAACAAATATAATTTAGAAAAGGTATTGGATAACAACAAATGTTATGGTTTAAGAGATGGTAAGAAACGTATTTTCTTCAAAGAATCTATTTTGTTTTCATATGGTGGACCGGGGGGAGATTCTTGTGGAATCTAGTAAGTACTACCTTATGAAATCTAATGGTATAAAGTAATGTTTTCGGTTATCATAATGAATAATTTGAAGTTCATGTTTCATATTCCAATATTTAACTTTAATCTATGTATGAAGAATATATTGAAAAAAGAAAATAATTAAGAAGACGAATGTATTGAAGAAAATGTTTATTTTTATCTGTGACCTACATGGTATATTATTGTAACTGCATCAGGTATCTAACTTCTTGTGCAATTACAATATTACGAAAAGATGCTCTTGGATTGAAGCAAATTAAGACACTGTTATATATCAATTGATCTTACAATATTAATATGTCAAGTCAATACTTAATTTTCATAATCATACATTTACTCAATACTTTTTCTTCTAAGAGGAAAACTCAAATATATAACAGAACCAACCAAAGAGATAGAAGAAGATGCATAGATATCAAACATTGTAAAACCTAATTCATATTATCAGCGTAAGCATGATAAATTAAAAAGTATCAACGGATAAAGTAGAAAAGGTAAATTTTAAAGTGTAAGAGTTGGTGAAAAAACAACATTTTAGAGTTGATGATTCCTTCAATACGTTTTAGAAAATTAAATTTTTGATCGACTATAAATACGTGATGGTCCATGTTAGTTTAGTTTTGTTTGAACACAAGAAAACATGAATGACCTAACAAACAAAAGAAAATAGAGAGTGACAACGACAATCAAGGGTGAGAAGCTACACTTTTGAATTTTGACGAACCCATTGCTGACGAATATGTAAATGAACCATACAAAATTGGCACAAAAACTTATTATAAAAGCTAATATGTGTGGTTTTGGGTTATGAATATGAATTCAGAGACTATGAATCCATATCCATAATGGTTATAGATTAAGCTAATCAACAGACTAAACATCCTTTACAAACACCAGTTGATACCTATTTGATGTGGTTTATTCGATCTAATAAAAGTAAATATCTTGTTAGTAATATGGTCAGGCTGGGGTCCAATACGGCTGCCAAATTTGATCATTTGACATATCGCCGCAGCCTCAAATTTGATCATTTAACAATTCAGAATATACCATCGCACCAAAGTCCACATAAGCCTATACTCAATTATTGTGGGGTTTGTCACTCTTTTGTTCTTTTATTCACTAAAAATGAATCTCTATCAAGGACCATCAACTTGATTTAGTTATAACAGTACGTACTTATCTAATGGATGACACCACTTCTATCTTACAGTCTCATTCTATATTGTTTACTTGACAAAAAAACTACATCTTACAAAGTTTAGTCACATTAGACGAATTCAGAACGCATGAAAACATCACATATTTAAGGTTATCCATCTCGACTTTACCTATATATATATACGGCTATAATTACTTAACACACATACTTGCAATTACCTCAAGACTGAAATGAATTAGATTCTCAGTTTAGTGGAGTAGTTAGGAAAAAAAAAAAGACAATTATTAAAAAGTGAAAGTTATGTAATAAACGACATTACAATAAGTAAACAAAGAATATAGAAAGAGGTAATGGACGAAGAGAGGGACCTACACGAGAGGAGGATGTCTCCTTCCACCTTCTTCTCATTTTAACGACTTTTCCATTTATTTAAAAATAATAATTTTCCTCAGCTTATATAATTCCACACTATCCATGAGTTGCATCATCCATCACAAATATCTTCCAACTCAATCATTCACCAAAGCTCTCCGTAAACCTTTTGATTCCACCAACGTTGTGTTAGCTCGTAAGAGAGATATGGGAAGTACTCCTGCTGAACTCCCTTGTGAGGATGTCGCCGATAACAGATCCGGTGTCGGAGGTGGTATCTCCGACGTGTACGGTGAGGATTTAGCTACCTTGGATCAGCTCGTTACTCCTTGGGTTACCTCCGTTGCTAGGTCAGTAAGTCATCACTCTGTTTTTGAACTTTGATATAAGAGAACCGCTTGCTTTTAGGTTTCTAAGAGCATATCCAACCCCACCCCATAACTTACTGCAAAATGGAGTGGAAAATGGAGTGATGAAGAAACAGAAAAGTGATTACTCTGTAAATGGAGTAGTTGGTTTTTTGTTTCTTCGTCAGTCAATTTCTGACTCCATTTTACAGTAAATTATGTAGTGGGGTTAGAGATGCTCTAACGAATCTTTGTTAAGTGAAGCTCATCGGTTTCTTAGTTTAATAAAACTTGGGAGACAAGAAAACTATGTGAACTAATGAAGCTGATGTTTCTTGTGGTTGAAGTAAGAGATGTATATAAGAAACTTATTGTGGGAAATGGAAATGTTTTTTTTTCAGTGGATACTCGTTGATGCGTGACCCAAGATACAACAAGGGACTTGCGTTCACTGATAAAGAGAGAGATGCTCATTACTTAACTGGTTTACTTCCCCCTGTTGTTATAAGTCAGGAAGTTCAGGTGATTTTAAATACAAAAAAAAAAAATATAACTCACTTGGTTTGTTTTGTGTGTTAATTAACTTGTGGTTTTGTTGATTAGGAGAGGAAGCTGATGCATAATCTTCGCCAGTACACTGTGCCTCTACAGCGTTACATGGCCCTAATGGATCTTCAGGTTGATTTGGATTGTTCCCTCAAGTTTAGTAGTAGTAGAGAAAATGTGTCTAAAGATTTGTGGCTCATGTATACAGGAAAGGAACGAGAGGTTGTTCTATAAGCTTTTGATTGACAACGTGGAGGAGTTGCTTCCAGTTGTGTACACACCAACAGTTGGTGAGGCTTGCCAGAAGTATGGTAGCATTTTCAGGAAGCCACAGGGTCTCTACATCAGCTTGAATGAGAAGTACGCTTTCATTAAATCTCTTTCTCTCTTTTTACCATTTTGAGATAGTCTAAAGTGAATGTTATGTTTCTGTAGGGGAAAGATTCTTGAAGTGTTGAAGAACTGGCCTCAGAGAGGGATTCAAGTTATAGTAGTTACTGATGGTGAGCGGATTCTCGGTCTTGGAGATCTTGGTTGCCAAGGAATGGGAATTCCAGTGGGGAAACTCTCTCTTTACACAGCTTTGGGAGGAATCCGTCCATCAGCTGTAAGCACTAGAACACAAGAAATGTGCAATGTTCTGTGCCTAGAAACTGGTACTACTTGTCATTTTAAATCTGGTGTTCACAATGCAGTGCCTTCCAATCACTATTGATGTGGGTACAAACAACCAGAAGTTGCTGGATGATGAATTCTACATTGGCCTTAAACAGAGAAGAGCAACTGGGCAGGTTCTTTACCACTCTCTTTCCTTATTATGGCTAACTAGTACAATGGTTTTCTACAGAAACTGAAAAAGTCTGTTTTGTGTTTGTGATTCAGGAGTATGCAGAGTTTCTGCACGAGTTCATGTGTGCTGTGAAGCAGAACTACGGAGAGAAAGTGTTGGTACAGGTGAGAGTGATGGATTCTGCTTAGGGATATTATTGTTTCTTTTTTTTTTTTTAAGATGTCCTGATACATACTCTTATTTATTTATTTTTCAGTTTGAAGATTTTGCAAATCACAATGCGTTTGACCTTCTGTCTAAGTACATGGATACTCATCTTGTCTTCAATGATGATATCCAGGTAAAAGATCATTTCCTCAAAAATCGTTCTCTTTGTTGTTTGAGGTGTCCTAGCGCTAACTTTATCAAGAACTTGTGTCTTGTGTTGCAGGGTACTGCATCAGTGGTGCTTGCTGGGCTTATTGCAGCTCAGAAGGTGCTTGGTAAAAGCCTTTCTGACCATACCTTCTTGTTCTTGGGTGCTGGAGAGGTGTGACCACAACGCATTATACTCTTTATAAGCTTATGATATATCTTCAATATATGTTTTTTTCTGATTGATAACGCTGTTTTTTTTGTAGGCTGGAACCGGTATTGCTGAGCTAATTGCCCTTAAGATTTCTAAAGAGGTTAGTAACTCTAAGAAGTCACTTAGTTTTTCTCTGGCTAAGAATAGGTATTTTGTAGACTGGAGCTCCAATTGAGGAGACCAGGAAGAAGATTTGGCTTGTGGACTCTAAGGTATTGTTAACAACCACCAAGACCAGTTTCATCCTCATTAGCTTAAACCTTTATTGTTCACTTATGTTGCTCTTTTAAACTTTTATTTCACAGGGACTGATCGTTAGCTCACGCAAAGAATCGCTTCAGCATTTCAAGCAGCCATGGGCGCATGAGTATGAGCCAGTCAAGGACCTCATTGGTGCTGTGAATGTACGCAATGAACTCATCTTTAAATCTCCTGATTTTAGTTTTTTTTTATTCACTCTTTGTTGAATCTTTTTTAAAAAAAAAACAGGCAATCAAACCAACCGTTCTCATTGGAACCTCTGGTGTGGGTCAGACTTTCACAAAGGAAGTTGTTGAAGCCATGGCTACTAACAACGAGGTTTCTTCTTGTTCTTCTTTTCAGCTTTCTTGATTAACACGGCATGTAGTGCTATTGTTCTAATGCTGTTCTTGGTGTTGGTTAATAGAAACCGTTGATTCTTGCTCTCTCAAACCCTACTTCTCAAGCTGAGTGTACTGCAGAACAGGCTTACACATGGACCAAGGTATATTCTCTCATATGACATATATGAACATGATTCATGTCCTAACGTCTGATTATAATATATGCTTAAAATAGGGTCGTGCAATCTTTGGCAGTGGAAGCCCGTTTGATCCTGTTGAGTACGACGGAAAAACTTACTTGCCTGGCCAGGTATGTTGCTATTTTTTCCATATTCTTTTCTCTGTCACTTAATCTGAATGCTTACATCAAAACCCTAACAGGCAAACAACTGTTACATTTTCCCGGGTCTGGGACTTGGTTTGATCATGTCCGGTGCTATTCGTGTCCGTGATGACATGCTCCTCGCAGCTTGTAAGTAAAACTTATGACAGAGACTAAAAGATTCTGAGTAAAACTCTTTACTTAACTTGTCTCTGTGTGTGTGTGTGTTCAACAGCTGAAGCATTGGCAGCTCAAGTCACAGAAGAGAATTTCGCCAACGGTCTGATCTACCCTCCTTTCTCTAACATCAGAGAGATATCTGCTAACATTGCAGCCAGTGTGGCCGCAACAACCTATGACCTCGGTTAGTTCCATTCATCTAAAACCGACTTTAATTCTTTAACCTAAGTTCTTGACTTGTATAAAAAGTTGTGCTGATGATGTATATTTGTGGGGGTATAGGATTGGCGTCGAACCTGCCACGTGCAAAGGATTTGGTGAAGTTTGCAGAGAGCTGCATGTACAGTCCTGTCTACAGAAACTACCGTTAAAGACATTGTGTTGAAGAAACCTCTGCTGCTTCTGCTATTCACAACCTTAAATAGTGTGTACTTGAGGCTTGTATAAGTGTTGTTTGTGTTGTTTTCTACTTTCTTCTACACTATGATGTTTCGAGCACTCTCTTCTGTCTTTGGTTCTTGTTTGTGGAATAATAATAAATCCAGTCTACTAATTATGTACTGTCTTAAAAAAATTACTTTTTACCCTCGCAATCAAAATCTCTTAATATGGGAACATGCTTTGTTGTCTTGGATCCGTTTGAAATGATTACTTGCAGTGCAGTATGACATGGTAAGTAGGCATTTTCCATTAAATAAATAGATGTACCAAAAGATTTGAAAACCGCATTATGTTTCCATGTTAAGAACCAACCATGTGATGTGATCTAAGGTGAGGTATCAAATATGGTTGCATTTTTGTAATCAACCAATTCATACAAACATGTTCGGAAAATGGAAAAAAAAAAAAAAACTTATGAAGAAAAGAACAAAATCACAGTAACTTGGAAATAAAACAGAACATCAGTCCAGTAAAATTGTTTCAACCCAACTAATTAAAAAAAATCACTTCAATAACACAGAAGACAAATGGGCTGAGTAGTCCTGAGCTTTAGCCTTTAAAAAGCCCAAATAGAATTAATGTTGAAAGTGAATAACCAATATTTATTCTCGGCAAAATCGAAACAAAAAATAAGTTGAGGGACTAATAAGGTAAAGAATAAACACGTTTTCTTATCAACCGCGTGATCTTTTTGCATCTGGAACAAGCGAGAAGCTCTGATTATAATAGCGAGTCCGTTTATTACTTCTCTCGTCTTCTTCGTCCAATTAAATTCTCTCCGATCAGAAGTCGATCGAGGTATGTTCTTTTAAAATCGTTCGACTTGCCGGAAAATTCTACTAGTTTTCAGATCAAAGACGGCGGGAACAAGTTGTCCCGATCGTTCAGGCTTTGCTTGAAATTAAACTTGGATTTTTAATTCTCTATATACTTAGAGAGCACTACATGTGTTATGTTCTGGTTTATTTGTTTGTCGGTTATTGTGATTGTAAAATCTAGGTTTTGTTTTGTTTTCTATACTGTCCGAACCATGTTAATTTGTAAAATTGAAGGATGTGTTATGGTTAAAATTATGCTGAGGGTTTTAGGTTTTGATGTTTTTTTTTTTTGTTGATTAGATTTGTGTTGGAATGTGTTTTACATTTTCATTTGTGTGATCGGATGATAGCTTGTGTGGTGATCAGGTTACGTAGCAAGGAAGAATTGAAACTGCAGCCATGGCGCTTAACCCACAGTTGATGCCCAATGGGATGCCTGTTCCTTTTGTTAATGAAATGTTTGTTCTTGTCAGAGATGGTGTTGAGTTTGAAGTCGACAAGATTCCTGGGTTCGTCTTTTCTTTCTAATCTTGTTTTCTTGATTGTAGGTTTAGGGTTTATATGCACCGGTATGGTTTGGATCTGTTTATTCTAGCTCATGAACCAATTGACAACTCCCCATGATTGAACAGACTATACATAAGGTCTTAAACACTTTGCTGAGACGTTGTGTTTTTTGTTTGGTCCAGGGGACATGGAGGTCATGTTAAGGCCAAGGGAGTGATATACTTGTCTAACATTCGGATGGTCTTTGTGGCAAGCAAGCCTGTTGAGAACTTTGTTGCTTTTGACATGCCTATGGTACAGTGATTTGATCTTTATGTTTTTCTCTCCTTATTCAGTTTATACATGGCACTAAAGTATATTTCTGTAAGTATAGTTAACTTCATGTTACATACATAGGACTATAGGAGTGAGTCGAGTGACTAGTAAAATCTCTAGTGATATACTCATAGATCTGGCAGTTAATGGTCTTATATGTTACTCTAATTTTTGTAGCTTTACATCCACGCGGAGAAATTCAACCAGCCAATATTCCACTGCAACAATATATCTGGACAAGTTGAGCCTGTAAGTAAACAAACTTTACGTGAACTTTCCCTTTTCTTGTCAGAAAACTACCATACATAAAATTCACTTACAATACACCCCTTTGGCATGTAATAAAAAAAAATTCCAGGTGGTACCAGAGAACGAGCATAGAGCACTGTATTCAACACACAGTTTCAAGATCCTATTTAAGGAAGGTGGTTGCGGAACATTTGTCCCTCTCTTCTTGAATCTAATATCATCAGTGAGGCAGTACAATAGACAAATGCAACAAGCTGCAGAGACAGCAGCGGCAGCACCACGTGTTGATCCCCTTCAAGCCTCACAGACCCCTGTTGATGAAATGATGAGACATGCGTAAGTTCCCCCTCTCTATCATACCGTAAGGTTTTGGTTAGTATTTGTCTCTAAAAAAAGTCGTGTGTATGTGCAGGTACGTGGACCCTAACGATCCAACGAAGATATATCTGCAGCAGCCATCAGGGGAATCTCAGTTGAGGCGGCGAGCTTACCATTCGAGTGCAGCGGAGCATTGATGATTGATGTCTTTAAAACCGAAGATACAAAGAGGGTGGTGGGATACATATAGGCAGCAACACATTAGTGCTGTTGCTAATAAGTAAAAGAGAGTTGTTGGTTTGTCTCAAACATAACTAAAACTAAAACCACTTTGTGTAATGAAAAAGAAAAGACTCTGTATCCGTGAAAATTTGGATTCTCTATAATTAAAAGTTAAGTTTGTTCATCTGAGAAAATTGAATACTCTTAACTAAAAGTTAAGTCTTCCAAGGCTCATTGATAATTTTAGTTATACCAATTCTATTACAAGACAGAAGACACAAACACAAGAAAGCATTCTTGTTCTGTCCTGAATTTTAAAACGAAACAACTAAAAGGTTACTTTTTCGTTTATTTATATATATTAATATATATATTGCCTCAGCAAAAATAATATGGAGAGGGAGAGCAAACGGATTCGAGGGAGGACCTAATTGTCCTATAGCTTTGACCTAAACCCTAAAATCGAGGGCTCTGCGGGCAGTCGGAGCACCCTCTTTGATCAAAAGCGACTTCACATAGCTCGTTTTTTTTATTCTGGTTAGTGTTGTTTGGTCTCTGTTCTGTTAGTTCTTAATCGAATCAGAGTTCCAGTGACCCGTAAGGTTAAGTTTCTGTGATGTATTTTCTGGTATTCTGGATTCTTGTGTTGAGCTCAATTCATTTGCCTGTTAACCTCTAAGGCTTAGCTTCGATTTTACTTGATCAAATGTCATGATTTTTTTAAGCTCTGATTTGTGGATTGTATTGTACAACTAACTAGGTGGAGGTTTCTCTAGTTTAGTAATAAGATGACCGAATGATTCTGTTTTTGTGTTGTGTGACTTGTGTCTCTGAACTCTGATGATGCCCTTCTTCAACTTCAGAGACCAGCATTATCATTGGGTTGTAATAAAGCTGATTAATTGATGATATGCCTTAGCTAGATTGGAATGAAGTCCTTGAAGCTTCTTCCTCTCATTTTCTTATCTTTTAAACTGTGTTTTGCAGAAATACAAAAGGGTGATGGAAACACAGAAGAAAGCTAGGGAACATAGCCTACACCATATAGTTGATGATATCGGTGGAGCATTTGGAATGGGAGCTATTGGAGGTTCTGTGTTTCATTTCTTAAAAGGGACTTACAATTCCTCGAAAGGACGTCGTTTCGTTGGAGGAGCACAAGCTGTGAGCATGAACGCTCCTCGTATAGGAGGTAGTTTTGCTGTTGTTGGAGGTCTTTTCTCGGCGTTTGACTACACGATGGTGTACATTAGGAAGAAAGAAGATCCATGGAACTCGATCATAGCAGGTGCTGCTACAGGTGGGTTTCTGTCTATGCGACAAGGCCTCGCTGCTGCTTCAAGTTCAGCTCTTATGGGAGGGCTTTTACTTGCTTTGGTCAAAGGGGTTCATTAAATGTTTTAAACCAGTAAGCTTTCATTGGGAGCTTTCTCTGCTCAATCTTGGAATCTATATACTCTTTTGTTTAACTCATTCTACAGTAATTCATGTGTTGTTGGTAGTTAAGAACTCAAACGCCATAAAGAGTATAATAAACAACTTAATCATTAAAGAGCATTGAGGCAGATATAATAAACACAGCCCCAAAAGGTAGATAGATCATTGGTTTCTCACTTATTTACATACAAACCTTAACAAGGACCTTCACCAATACAACCATCCACTAGAAACAAAACCAAAACCAAAACCAAAACCGAAACCAATTCCTTTTTCCCCTAAACAGGATCTTTAGATAACAAAGTTTTCTTGTCCCCTCTAATAATATATCCATCAAATTAACTTGTTTTCTTTCTTTTTCCCCTTGACAATCACAGTTCCTTCTCTCTTTTGTATCCCTAATTCTATTCACCTAAGAGTAGCAATAGAATTACAAGAGAAGGAAAAAAAAAAACAAACTGGGGACCTGGGATGTTTTTAATCTGTACTCCAAAATATTACCTGACAAGACTTGGTCACGACTGCCAAAACAGCTGATAATCCTTACTATACAACGAGCGGTCTTGTATCTCCAAGTTTGCTACATGCCGATTTATGAGCTGTGACTGCATTATCTTACACACGACCAGTCCCGCTGGAAATATCCACCATTCACTTTCACCCCTGCATCACCGTAACACGCATCACAAACCATATATACCCAGATTTTTGTCAAAATGTATTTCTTTTGCATTGTAGTAATACTCACATGTTTATATTCCACGGCTGAAATGGGATTTTCTTGCTTGCTGATGATTCGCTGTTATAATGAACATATCCGCAGAGAAATGCAACAAACTGTCACAGAACCAAAACTTGTCAAATAACTTAAGACATGTAACATCTTCTAAGGTATCAACACCCACAGATATAATTGTTTAAATTCATACTCATGTGACATTTGTCAACAACACAAGAAAAAAAACAAAGAGAACTTACCACATTAACCAAGGACATGAAGTTCCACAAAGCGTAAACACGTGCTAAGCCAGCAGAGCGTCTGGGTCCATGACTGAATAAGGCATTGATCCCAGCGGGGAATGGCAAAAGCAAGCCGAGAGGTAATATAGACAAAGCCAAAAGTACATCCACCAAAGAAATCGAATATAGCTGGAGCAGCGTGAGCAAGACTAGACTAAAATCTCCTAAAAGTATCATTGATATAACTAAGCCAACCATATCCTGTAATACATAACATCCGGAAGAGACATTAAAATTGTTGGAAAGTTGGACGGCACAACATATAACAAGACATTTATACTATAAGGATTTTGATTGGAGCGGTACCTGGTGGCCCACAGGTTTAGTGTTGTGAACTAAGAAAGAGAGAAGGAAAAACATATCTCTCTTCTCTTTCAGACTCGGTAAGCTGTCAAGGTCGATTATCCCTCCATAGTTCTTTCTGCGTGTTGTATTATCCTCAGCGTTTGTGTGGTTTTCATTGTAGAGCATAGTCTCTCTTAAATGTGCCGAAGAATTCTCTTTATGTGCAGTCACACCGTAACTAGAAGTTACAAGAATAAGATATCAAAACCCCGCATAAACTTCACGAAACATGCTCAAGTGTGTGACATCACGAAAAAAAACCTTAAAACTTCTTAAGTGATCATCTTATTTATCTAGAATGCTCAAGTTCATACTTTATATTCAACTTCAGACAACACAGCGCATTCAGGAGAAAGAATAGTATCATGACTGTTTTCACTGAAATGGACCCTATGAAAGGAGACAGTTTCTCATTTATTTACCGTGGCTGGATTTCAGTCCATGCTGTTTCACTGACACACTGAGGTGATGTTGGTTCACAATCCTCATCAGCATGAATCAAGAGACCATATTGGCAGTAGCCACAAGCTGTGGTCTGGAACCAGGCTAGATCAACCCGTATGCCATGTGTTTCCAGAGCAGGATTAGCATGAGTTTCTAACCATTTCAGAACAGAATGAAACGTTGATCTCAGACGCCCACGTCGAACAAGGCGTAACTGAGCGTTTACACCAGCCACCAATCTGTACCAAGTAGTGGGAGGAACGAGCTGGGAAAATAAAACAATGACAAAGATCAATACAACCTATAACATGTCAGCTAAAACTACTTCTTGTTAACTAAGGAACCAACCTCACTCATCAGGCTAGTAAGAATGTTGTCATTTTGAAGTGAGAAAGGAGCCATGTAACTGCCATCACCACCAAACAATATGGGCATTGGAAACCTTTGGTGAATCCCAGGTGGAAGGTCTGTCCTTTTCTCATCCCCGCCAAGGAAGAAATCCAGATATGCAAGCATCAAATCTGGGGTGGCAGCGACCTAAATTTATAAAAAAAAATTAATAGAATAAGAAGGCCAAAGTAAAACACCAAATCCTTGTAAAACGAAACAGGTATTCAGAAATCTGTACTCCTGTTAATCAGTTATGAGATCAAATAAATCACACAGAAATTACCTTCAGACCCTCGTACAAAGCGCGGGAGCGACAGGAGCGCAAACAGGAATGATCATATTCTGAACGTACAAACTCACGCAATTTTTGCAGCTTCAACTTCCGCCGCCATTGCTGCCATGACCACGCAAGCGGATATGCAACCACTGAAAGAATACTATATATTGCACCTTCCCACCATTGATATGCAGCTATAGAGTTGATTTCGTCGACAAACGTGTTAAATGCAGCCTCATATCTAAAGAACCCAAAACCAATAGCGCCAATGCAACTTATTAGATAACCATAGACAAAACAACGTGTCTCCAAAAATCTATGAAATAAAATGAGGAACAACTAACACTATCTCTTTTATCTCTTCTGGGGGAATATGCGAGAGATGCCATGGCTCACTGAATGTATTAGGACCCATAAAATACATTCTATGCACATGACTCTGCGATTGCTCTGCTCTATTTGTTTCCAGCACCTGAAAAAAGGAACAACATTATAAACAACAAAAGTGTATTATAAGGAATATTTAGCAGGTTATTTAGCTCAGTTATGTCTGCTGGCCATATATTAGTTGCATCTGAAGTGAAAAATCAGAAAATACATAAATCATTCTTTATTTGCTTCAAGAAAGCACAACAAGCAAACAATTTTAGATCTAATGTTCCAAGATAAAGAAAATCATCTAACCTCATTTAGTGATTCAAGGAATGGGAAGGAATGATCTATTTGAGAGCCATGATGCGTGGGTGCTGGGCCAGGCAAATCATCAACTCCGACAAATTTCATTCGTGCAACACTAAGTACAAGTGCTAAGAGGATGAGGAGACCCATCAGAAGAAGACCAAACAACCAAGGCCCACCAAATGTGTAAATTAACTCCTCCAGAGCGGTGTAACAGTGTGGCATGTGATACCTTTCCGATATGCATCGATATGGACATGGTGTCTCAGAAACACCACCTGTTATTAAGCATAGAAATTCCAGGGTTTTCGTTGAGACATAAACATGTTCGGCACCAGTTTGAATGAGTAAGAAAACAAGACCATAACCAACTTAAATGAACAGCTCTCTGAAAACCATAAGTGTATTCATAATCGTGGAAAAATGAATAGTAAGAAATTAGGCTTCTAAATGAACGGGAAACAAAACTTATCACCGACAATTAGGAAATTTTTTTATAGCATATATGCAATACACAAGAGCCCCAGATTTATACCTCGAACTGGGACATAGACAGCACGAGATGGAAGTTCATCAACAGGACAAGGGCGGCAAAGAGACGTGTCAGATCCAGTAACATTCTTGAATGTACCAGATGGACATTCCTGGAAAAAGAATGGAATTGTGAATATAATGAGAACTACATTAATAATTCAATCGTGATAAGGAAAAGAAAGACAAATGGAAAATTTCAGCCCTGGTCTTATAGAGCAGGAACTTGTTGAGCCAAGTTTTTCTAACCTTGCAAAATATACCGTGGAGTCCCTTTGGACAAGGCTTTCCAGTTACTGTGCCATTTTTGCCAGTAAAACCATCATCTACTGCCCCTCCCCCCCTACAGTTACAAAAAGAAATAGTGTGTTAATGCGACAGGCTGGAAAGCGAAATCAAATAATAGCATAGAAGTGGTAAATGCAGTCAATGACGGGAAAAGGGAAAACATACTAATGCCATGGAAAACAGGTTGAAGATTTGGTGTGAATGTTTACACTAGCATGGATTATTCACAGGTATATAGAGGACAGACCTTGCATGAATTATTCCTTTTACACTAGCAATAGGCTGGTATATGTCCCCAGTGGGAATGTTTGACCAATGAAAATGAATCCTCCCACCTCCGCCACCACCACCACCAGCAGGACTGCCTGACCCACCACCACTTGAGAGAAGAGATGACTCTCCCAAAATAAGATAGCGCAGGAACAAAAGAACTGTTCCACCAGAACCACCACCAGGTGCTACAACAGAACCATTTTCATCTCTGCTTGAACGTTTGACACTTTCTCCATCAGCCCTAATTGACCCTTCAAGTGATAAACTAGATAGAGGCTGCTCCACTGAACCAATCACTGACCAGAATTAAAGGCAAAGAAGGAACAGGTTAAACATCATGAATGCTATAGCTTTCATAGCAACTAGATGCATGCACAACAGTGTATGGCCTAAACTATGACAAGCTTCTACAATGTTAACAGACTTTTATTGAAACACAACAATGTTAACAGCCTACAAATCATAAACTTGTCACAAATAACAAAATATAATTCGCCAAATTTCCAACACACGAAATACGAATAGTGAGCAGTCTACATCATACATTTTGCATCAAATTCCTATGACGACACAACCTAATTTCTCAAGTTTAATAGAACTCCGGAATCACCAAATCTCAGACATTTCATACCTACAATACCACCACCAGAAGATGAATAGTCCGGGCTATAATCGCCACTTCCACTGCCCAGCTCACAAGGAAGTTGTGCATTTCCATAAGTAATTCCACCTTCGACACAGCTGTTATTGTAACATACACGGCCACCTTTGCCGCCATGCCCACCACCACTACCCATGCCATTTCCAAGCAATTTACCTTCACCTACACCACCTCTACAACCTACGATAACACAAAATAAATGGATAAGTATGATGCTACTAAAAACACATTAAAAAGTATAAGTACATATCTTCGTTCTCCCTATGTGGAGAATGCGTAGCACCTTATATATTAAAATTGGCGATAAGCCAAGGACATGCCCATACGAAATGTAGAAGTGGGATGCGCGATCAAAACAAAATCCAAAAAGAAAATAGTTATTGTTACCCATTCCACTGGCACTAATCTCTCC